TCATGATCAGGTAATGGAATGTCTTTTCTATTGTTATCGATTGAGGTTTCGGATTCACCATCTCCCGACTCTCCATTTTCACTAATATTCAGCAGGTTGGAGAAGTGTTGTCTCCATAAATTCAGTATATTCTGGTCATCAGTGGCGATATCACTTCTTTGAGTCCTACAAGGGTCTGCTCCGGTCTTGAAACCTTCCGTAAGTCGTCGTATCTTCTCAAAATTTTCGAGCATTACCCTTGTCGGCCAGCTTCTCAAGCTCTTCATACTCACGCATCTCGACCTTCTTCTTTTTTATCTGCAGATGCGTCTTGCTTCCTTTTTCATCTCTCGGTATATTATATATCTCATCCCGCACGTGTTGTGGTCGATCGCAAGGTTGCGAGGTAGACAGTCTGTTTTCTCTCCCTTGCGGCACGGCAGTCCTCATCGTACCAGCTGTTGTTGGATCTCTCACAAAAACAAAAGTTTCATTTGCAGCTATACTTAGGGAGCTTGCGATTACCAATCCACAATCCTCTTATACGGAGTTGCTGAGGAGTGTTCTGAGGTAGCGGGAGTGCAAGTCGGGTAGAAAATCCTTCGGCAGTCTGTTGTGATTGGAGCTTTTCAACGACGAACTCCAACAAGATGTTGGTCCGACTTGAAGTTTGGGTACTCGGAGTGTATGCACGTCAATAACACTGGATACATGTCACCCGTCAATCACAACATATTCAATATATATCGATTGGTGACAGCCATGTATGTTATCCTCTTGCGCTGGAGGCCAGTACTAAAGACAACCAGATTTCGGGCCTCGGCGAAGTCGATCAGCCTGAACACTTTTGGGAATGTTTCGTCATGGATTATATATATATATAAATATATATATAAATAATTAAGAAAATTATATGTAAAGAGTGATTCTAAATTACAAATACATATACATGCATATGTATATATGTACGGGTATATACTTATAAAAAGTTGTTGTGTTAATAACATTGTATGAAGGAATAGGGAAATTCATAATTAATATTTTTAAGTCATAACACCAACCGCGTGAGCGCATGGCATAACGCACAAGTTCACAAAAAAGCAAAAACAAAAACAAAAACAAATTTTTAAATATTCCTCTACCATGAGGCGACAAAATTTAGCTTTTACCTTAACTAAGTATGCACATACATACATACATACATACATTTTTAGATGCTCAAACATAACGTTTAGCCGCCACATTTTTTATTTTGTCGTGGTTCAACGAACGCTAAATGAATTTGGCACAAGTTCTTCAAATATGAAGAAACGCAACTACACACACCAACACACGCAAACATGCACTCAAATTACAAAAGAATCACAAAACACAAGCACCAAAGAAGAAAAGACTCCGCCAGCAAAAGGAAAAGCAGAAAACTCATTAAGCGCCATTCGGCTGGTGATCGTCCAGGTTCCACCCTCCCCATCACGCAGAGGAATAGAGTGTGCTTGTTGCAAGTTTAATAAATATATGTATGTATGTACATGCTAGGCTATGAATTGCACACACATACTAAGAGGAAGAACAAGAAAAAAGTCATAGAATGTCGATCATAATTCATTAATGGTCCAGCAATAAAGCACAACAACCGCGAGAAGCCCGGTAATCCAACGCTTTCTTGCGATCCGTTTCTTCCTTTGACTATTGATATTTATGTTGATGATGATGCGACTGTGCGACAATCTGAAATTGTTGGCAATTTATGCAAAAATCACGTTTGAATGCGATTGTGCAGCAAATGGGCGAGTGTGGCAGGATAAGTGAATAAAATGCTGAAAAAAATAAAAAAAAATTTTAAAATTTTTTTTTAAACATAAAATAAAATATAGAAAAAATAAAAGAGAATATAGAAAAAATAAAAGAAAATATAAGAAAATGTGAATAACTAAAACCTGTAGGGTATCGCTAATTGCGTGCGGATCCAACTTCGCTTAATAAGTAAATCCACTATTTTTGGAGAAGATTCAATGGAATTATTTAATGCCACGAATACTTAATACAAAGTCAGCAGAGTATCGAAAGGATTTTTAAATTGAAAACCATTGAGTTTTGTGAAATTTCTTTCTTATTCAACATGGTTTTAAAGCGTCTAATAGGAAACTCGGCTACTGAGCGGCCTGTAAAGCATTGTGGGGTACATATAAAGAAAGAAATATTTTAATTTTTGTATCTTAAAATAAAATATTATAAATAAAATAAATTTAAAATATATATAATATTAAAAATAAAATTTAAAATGTTGTAATAATTAAAATAAAATTAAAAAAAAATAATAATTTAAAAAAATTTAATAATTCGAATAATATTAAAAAATTTATAATAATTAAAACAAAATTAAAAAAATATATAATAATTAAAATAAAATTAAACAAATAAATAGTAAATAAAATAAAATTAAAAAAAAAATATTAATAGTTAAAATAAAATTAAAAAAATTTTTAATAATTAAAATAATATTAAAAAAATATATAATAATTAAAATAATTTATAAAAATGTATAATAATTAAAATAAAATTATAGAGATATATAATTATTAAAATAAAATTAAAAACATATATAACAATTAAAATAGAATTAAAAAAATATATAGTAAATAAAATAAAATTAAAAAAAATTATAATAGTTAAAATAAAATTAAAAACAATTATAATAAATAAAATAAAATTAAAAAAATATATAATATTTAATTAAAATAATAATAAAAATATATTAAAAAAATATTAAAAAAATATAAAGAAAATTTAAAAAAGATATTTAAAAAAATATAATTTTATTTTTATTAAAATAATTAATAACACAAAAAAATTTGTAAAATTTATTTTTTACTAATGCTATTAATGCCTTACAAGCCTCCAACAATACCCGCATAATATTTTCTATAGTGAGGCTACATGTATGTATGTACATGTTTATTTTTATTTTATTTCACACTTAACTTAATTTTTTGTTCGTGTGAATTTTATGTGAGTTTCAGGATTTGACAATAGAAAATTTTTGAAATTCACGCTTTGAAATTTCCTAAGTCACTCTAATTAATAAAACTCGAATTTTTAAAAATATTGGTATAAATATGACGTTCGATCAAGTGGATTGATGTGAAAAATATTTAGAATTTTCTATAGTTTAATTTTAGTTTTTTCAATACTTCTGTAGTTTTTATTTTTTTAAACAAAAAGAATTTTTTAAATTCCTTTTTTTGACATTTTTCGATTCAATTCTGAATAAAAAAATTTTTTTAATAACAATTCTGTTTTTCTTTTCAATCCAAATTCTTTTTTAAATGTTAAATTTTTTAATAATTTTTTAATATTAAATTTGAATATTTCAGCAACTTTTACATATATATTGCTAAACCTGCTGTTTTTGACAAGCTTCTGTGGCAGCGCTTAACGATTGGTAAAAATAAATTTTTTTTTATTTTTTTTTTTTATTTTTAAATTTTTAATTCTCTTCAATATATATCTGTAATATTTTGTAAAATTTGTTTGGAGAGTACTTGAAGCAGTAGTGTCCTTTAGAACCCGAAAGAAGTGATTTTTCAGTTTTTTTTTTTTTTTTTTTTTTTTAAAAAGGGAATGAAAAGATTGTGGTTAACGAAACTTTTAGATTTTTCACAATAATGTAGTCTATTTAAGCTTCATAAAAAAACTATTTTTAGTATCAAAATGTTGGGATGAGTTGTCTGAAGCGGCTGCAGTCTGAACTCGTGAAACGGTGCTTGTTATGGAGGTCATGCGACGCATCTGGAACAGTCGTAATAATTTTTCTTTTTAATTTTCATGTGTGTCTCTTATATATGAACTAAAAAACTACTAATGAAATTGGAGAATTCCAAATTTTTTGTAGTTTGACAAAAAGTTCACTATTTTGAAAACAAGAAATTAACTTCAAGTTGCAAAAAAAATTTTTTTTTTAAATTAGTGTCCCCCTTTTTTAATTCAAATAAAAGAGAATTTAATACTGACTTGTAAAACTGAAAAAAGGCAAAAACTCACCTCAATGTTTTACCCGAGCATTCGAACCTGCTAAAATTGTTCTAGCTTCTAAAATACCGGTACAAAAAAAAAATATTTAACATTAAAAATATTTAACAATTAAAAAGTCTTTAACAGGAAATCATTCTTCGTTATCTCAAATTTTTTTTTTCATTTTTAAATTTTATCTATTTTTTGGTTAAATTACTTTTAAAAAATTATTTATTTTTTTCATATATTTTTATTTTTTTTTTACATATATATTTTTTTTTATAGTTTTTTCCTTTATTTAACTGTTTTCCTTATTTAAATTCTTTAACTTATTTATTAAATTTTATTTAAATATTACCTAAATTGTGCTGCAGAACAAACTTAATTTTCCTTTCGCAACATGTTGCGCTGGGCAGAAAAAATGTTGCAAGTAAAATAGCTTGCGTCAAAAGTTAGGAAGGCGAAAGCAATGCTAAGGCTGCCGCATGCCGTATGCCAAGTTGGTTGTTCGCCGTTCTCCATCCGCCGTCGACGTCGTCTGTCGCCTCGCGCATGTTGCACATTAAATCACATTACCGTCGCACTCGAATTGTCGCAGTGGGTTGCAAATGTTGATCGATCGTTTGTTGGCGTCTATGTGACCTCAGTACAGCTAAGCTAAGCTGCACCAACAATTCTTGCCTTCCTACTTCCCTCCCTCTCTTACTCTCTACCTGCCTTCCACGACCCCGAAACAAAACAGTTCGATTGTGTCGTTCGATTTGTTTGCCATTCTAAGTGCTTCATTTGTTTTGTCGCGCAATAAAAGATGTTTGCTGTTTTAAAAATATGTACGTGTGTGTGTTTGTAGTCTTTAATGTGTTTTCATGTTGCAACAAATGATTGCAATAAATTTATTAAACACTTTATGCCATTTGTTCTTAAGAACTTTTCCACTTAGTCCGCATACTTCTTATATTTATTCTTCTTCTTCTTATTATAATTCCTCGTTTTTCTATTTCATTTTACAGTCTCGTGACGCTGCTTCAGATGATGATGTACGTGATTGTGATTCGATCGATGGTGAGCATCATGTAATTCGTGCAACACGTTTAAATGTCGCAACATTAAAACGTAATCACACCAATAATAATAATAACAACAACAATAACAACAAACACAACAACAACAATAACAATAAGCATACACAACACAGTAATAAAGCGCACAATAATAATAATAGTACGAAAACTAAACCGTCAATTGGTGGTGATATGAGTTTTGGAGCTGGTTCCGGCGCTGGTGTTGCTATTAGCGGTGGCATGGGTGTGCGTAGTCCCGAGCATCACGCTGATATACAAATGAGGTGAGCTAATTTTTGGTATTTTTAGATGAGTTTTAAAAATTATCTTTATTTATTAACAAATTTGTTTGATATAATTTTTAAATATTTTTTTTTCTTAATTTTACAAACGTTTTTTTCTGTTATTTAACAATTTATTGTAACTATTTCTTAACAATTTTTTGCTGTCAATATTTTTAACAATTTTTTTTTCAACAAATTGACTAATTTCTTAACAATTTTTTTTAATATTTTTTTCTATTTTTTGACAATTTTTTTAATACAACTTTTAAACATTATTTTATTATTTTAAATTTTTTAAGTAAATAATTTATTTTTAAAATTCTTTTACATAATTTTTTATTTTTAATGAACTATTTTTATTTTGGAACAAATAGTTTCTTATAATCAATTTTTCATTATTTTAACAGTTTTACTATACATCAAATATTGTAATTAATTTTTAAATTTTTTAAATTAATTTACAAATTTTTTTACATTTATTTTTAAGTAATTTGTTAATTCTAAAATTATTCTTTTATTAATTTTTTTAATTTCATTTGTTTTGCCAGCAAATAAATTTATATTCTAAACATTTTTTAGGACTTTAGCTCTTTTAACAAACTTCTTTATTTTATATTTTTGATAATTATTTTTAATGTGATCTTAATTGTTTAAAGGTTTTTTTTTTTAGAAAAAAGTGAATTAGTGTTCAACTGTTTTTTTATATTTTATTTAAATATTTTTTAATATTTTAAACATTTTTATTTATTATTTTTAAATTTTTTTCCATAATTTAGATTTTTTGTTTATTTTGTATTTTTTTTAACAAACTGTTTAATTTTTCAACCATTTTATTATTTCAATATTTTTTCACCTCTTAATTTTTTTTATTTTTTTTTTATAACTAATTAATTTACTTTGCCACCATTTTTTATTTTTACCACTTTATTTATTTTTTCACAAAATGCTTTAATTAAACATTAAAATTAAATAATTTATTTATTTTGAAACTAATTCTCTAATACCATTTAACAATGCATCGCTTTAATTTAACTAGCAACAAATTAATTTAATTGTTAACAGTATTTGTTTTTCTGAAATGTTCAAATTTTTCACTGTTTATAGTTTTTTTTATTATAATTTTTTTTTTCTTATTTAAGAAATGTAAATTTCTAAAAATTAATTATTTAACAAACGGGTATAATGTATTTTATTAATTTTTAAAAATAATTTTTATTTTAAAATAAATATTTAAATATTTTTTTTTATATATTTTGACAAATTTTTATTTATTTTAATAAGCAACAAATTAATTTAGGTTTTAACGCTTAAATATTTAAATTTATATATTTTTATATTTTAAAATTTTTTTTATTTCTTAAGAAATGTATTATATCTATATCTATAAATGTATATTTTTTTAACAAACTGGTTTAATTTAATTTTTTTTAATATTTTTTTACTAATCTATTAATTTTTAATAATTCTTTATACTATAATTTAATGTTGCAACAAATAAGTCTATTTCTTTGCAATTTTTAATCTTTTACAATCTTTTTTTCAATTTTTTTCATGTGTAAATAAATATTTATTTGTATTTATTTAAATTTTCAATATTTTGTAACGGCCGAATTTATTTCCTAACAAGTTTTTTTTGGATTTTTTTTAGAATTAACTAATTAATGTTTTATTAATTATTTTTTTTAAATTTAACAATTTTTTATTATTTACTGACTTTTTAACAACGTTTTTTTCAAATATTTTTTAACAATAAATATTTATTTTGCAACCAATTGATTTAGTGTTTACCGAATTTTTCACAATTTTAACAAATTTTTATTTTTTCTAGATTTTTTGTTTAACTTAATTTATTTATAATAAATGATGATATTTTTTATGCTCTTATTTTTCCAGTCATCATCATCAATTCCCCAGCAATCATCCGCTCAATGCACTTGGTAATTTTATGGGCATGAGCGGCTTACATGGCATTCCAAATCTACAACACAATGATGTGTTAGAGAAGCTAAAGATGCAAGTGCGTGATATGAAAGTGGGTCTAATGGTAAGTTTTCTAAAAATTGAGAAGCTTCTAGAAGAAACATATCAGGATTTTTTTAATGATTTGTGAGTGTTTCAAAGGTTATAATAGATACAAAATGTCCTCTCAAAAATCCATCTCCAGTTCCGCTACTGACTTTCATTACAATGATTTTCTAAGAAAGACGTTTGATTATTCCAATAAAGCTGCTGTTCGTTAACCTTTGTGGTCTTGGAAAATCTTTAGTTTGCAAGTTCCCGGACTATTCCGAACATGAAACCGATACGGCAGCTGACTCCCCACCAAACCACTGACAATTTTTCCTTTGAAAGAATTTTATTAATCAAAGCAAACTAACTGAAACAAAAAAAAATTATTTTTATTTTTATTACACTCACCTTTCTTAGTTTTGATTAAAACACCCACATCCTATCCACATCTATCACCTACTCAACCCAACATGAATATTCTCTTTCATCCACAGGAACAAGATTACGCTGCTGCTGCGCATGCGGCTGCCTTTGGGCAAAATCTACTACCCACCAGTTTGAATACGGCATTCTCGCTGCCGCCCACAACAATGGCTCAATTCGAGCACCGTGTACAGAGTCTCGCTGTGCAGGCTGATGGTGGCGGTAGCGGTGGAAACGCTGGCGTTTCCAATGGTAATACACAAAGTGCACAACACAGTGGTGGCAATAGTGTGAGCGGGAGTGGAGCAGCGTGTTTGACCAATGGTGGCAGTGGTTTGCTTGGTAGTGGTGCTGGTGGCGGTGGCGGTGGCGGAGGAGGCGCTGGAGTCGCTGGTGGTGGCAGCGGCGGTTCACATGGTGGCTTCTCATTTACCTCACCAACGGCACCCAGCTCAAAAGACGGTGAGTTGAAGAGATTTATTTTGAATACAATTTGAGTGCGATTTATTTAGTTATTTAAAACAAAAAATAAAAATAATAATTAATCAGAATTTATTTAAATAATTTTTTATTTTTATGCACAAAGTGTTTTTTTAATATTCATATATTTAAATGATTTTAAAGTTTTTTTTTTAACAACAAATTATTGTTAATTTTTAATTATCTGTACCCTTCAACGCTGCGCTGTGGCACTTACGCATTGGATACGAGTGTATGAATGTATGAAAAATGAAACATTGAAAAATGAAACATAATTCAATACATTGACCCTGACTACTGTTAATACCGAATGCAAGTGCTAATCTGTAGTCCTTTCAATTGAGAGAGGCTGTCAGCTGAATGTTTAGAAATAAGCGAACGAGGACATCTTCAACTTTGAAAGATCCAGTCAGAATTGTTGCTTCCATTACGTTCCCTTGACGGCGAAGTCGTTCTCCGTCGCAAGTCTCTTCCGCTGCTGTTGAGCGATTAATGAAGGGAAGTTTTGTTATGTAAGAATTTCAGTCGATCGAGAACTTGCCGAAGTATTCGGATTTTTATGAACAAACGTAAGATTCATCAGTCTGCTTATTTGCATTTGTGGGACAATTTTTCGCTGCTTGAAGTCTTTTACGAAAACATCAATGAAATTGTCTCGTCGTATGCCAAACGCACCGTTTGGATCTAGACTTCATCGCATTCAAGTTGAACGTATAAAGATTGCGAAGCGAATATACGAGCAAAAACGAGTCAATGAGGTGCGCCCATACATCGCTCGTAACTGGAGACCATGCGCCGTGCCACACCGCTCTCTGTGAGTCCCAGTATTTGACCGCTAAAGGGAACGCCTTGTTGCAACGACCGCCTCATTTGCCTGATATGTCGCCCTGTGACTTTTTTGTTCTCTAGAACGAAATCGGTATTCGAAAGAACACATTTTGAGTCAAATGAGGACATCCGGGCCTCCGTGACGACTACTTTGAAGGGGATGGCAGAGTTTGTAGAATAATTTTGAAATATACGGTTTTTATGGAATCAATCTCATTACTTAATTGTCATACCTTATATGTACGAGGTGCGGCTGATAAGTTCGCGGTCTAAAGTATTTAATGAAGGAATGTATAGTTTTATGTTTTTTTTTTCAATATAGTTTTTTCCCATCGTGAATACCATGCCTTTATACCACTGAGAAAATATACTTCAGATTTCCCTCCAAAAGAGGTTTCAACGCCCGCTTTCATCGCCATGTCGTCTGAAAATCTTAGTCCCCGAAGCATCTTCAAAATTTTGAAAAATTAAAAAAATCACTGGAAGCCAGGTCCGCACTGTAGAGTGGATGGTAAATCTTTGTAAATCCAATAGCTTTTAATGCATCAATACGTTTCGACTGTATGGCTGCCGCACGTACATGACTGCTGGCCTAACAAATAAGCATAAGACTGGCCCTTCATTATTATTCCCTCAATTAATAATATTCCCTCGCTTTCCCAGAAAATGGTAGCCATAATCTTCAACGCTGACGTTTCCATTTTAAATTTTTTGGTGATTTTTCCTTTTTTGATCCACTACATCGACTCCTGTTGGCCTCGAAATCATACAGACGTCTCCATCAACTATTACAATGCGATTACAAATTTCATCCAAATCAACTTGGCGCGACTCCAAAAAATCTTTACATTTCTACATTCAAATGTTCATGCAAAATCTCTCCAGCTCATTCTCTGCTAATCTGTAATCCTTCTACTATCTGCCACAATTTAATTCTTCGATCAGCCGGTGCTTATATTTTGGCTTTTCGAACATTTTCCTAAATCACGACCGTCACTGAGCGCCATCTTCACGAGAGACCTGCTGGAATGGCCAAGCTCATTTTTTACCATCGTATATGAAGAGCAAGAGTCCTGAAGAACTAATGACGGCTATTTGAAAAATTTCTTTCGGCGTACTTTCTTACTTTTACAAGAAATTAAACCGCAACACAGTGCTCCATATGACTAGAATTTCCAGTTTACGTTGACAAAGTGTTGTTGCTTGTTCCAGTAACGAAAGGTTAATGAACCTAATACAGAAAAGTTGTGTTATTAATACAAATAATGAGTCCCGCAACTGGTGTCATCAGTAACGAGATGATGTGATTGCAAATAGGGGTCCACCTATCGGGCAGAATAGTAGTTTTCCTGTGAGTCTAAGCAAAAAAGCTCGATTTCAATTAAATCGAGCCATAAGTACGATTTTCTCGAGGAACTTAATGCCTCGTTCACTTGCCAAAATTCCCATATTTTTCGTTTATACATACTTCGTATATCCCCAGGAGCCATATAAACAGTCCGACGAAATTTCTTTTCAATCGGCCATTAACTTTTACTGGTACTTTACAAGCGATCATAAGAATATTATACGAGTATATGGAGACATTAAATTAATTAATTTATTTTTTAATATAACATCTTCCACATTTTTGAATTTTAATTTTGTTTTTTACAGTTTAAATGTATTTTTTACTGATTTTCCCTTTTTTCTTTACTACCTTTTTCCGTTTTGGTCTTTAGTCAATCCCGCATCGAATTCTTCCACATCCAGTGAGGCTTCCAGTTCTTCGCAACAGAATAATGCCTGGAGTTTTGAGGAGCAATATAAGCAAGTTAGACAGGTAAGTGGAAATTTTTTAGTATATTTTTTAATCGAACAAAAGATGACAAACCCTCCAAGAAGAAGATCTTGTTCTTGTGTAAGTCGAACATTTTATGGCCGACAAAATTTCTTGGAAGATTTTTGCCATAGCTAGACTTCTCTCATTTTTCGGTAACCTGAAAGTTTTGTTTTCCTATTGATACGACTCAACTCTGTTTACAGCATATTTGCGTTACCATGGAGATGTTTCAGTGTTTTCCTAAGTTCCGAAAAGTAGCTCGGCACCCTCAAATATATACAAATATTTTGTAAGTGTCTTCGTTACTAAGCTCCCCCTTAACATATCAAACTTGTTCAAAAAAAAAAAAAAAAAAAAACTTGTGAAAGGTTAAATTAAGAAAGTTGCCACCTGCTTTAAAATTGTTTTTGTCTTTTATTTAAAAATCTCTTATAAGTGTGCCTATGAACGAAGCTGATTTTGACGATTTTTTTGAATGTGACGCTTTTACGTGGGCTCACGAATTATTTAAATTCGACAGTGCTACCACCTATTTTAAACATAAGATTTGAAAAAAAAAAGCGATAAAATAACAGTTATATTACAAAATGTGCATGAAACTAAAGAGATTAAAGTAAGGTTTAAGGGGAAAATAATTTTTAGCAGCGTTGCCACCTGTTTAAAATTACAATTTGAAAGAATTGCGAAGATACATAAGCCTTACACGAGTCGCTTAGTAAATGGGTATCGAGGACACAGTTCCTCAAAGTTTGATGGTGAAAAACTTTTTCGGTAGAGTTGCCACCTTCTATGAAATTTTTAATTAAATTAAAAAATATTATACGGGGGTACCAATTTAAAAGGTATTGTGAAGCTTACACATAGCATATTTTTTTTGATTGCCCAGAAGCTAAGCATTGCACCTAAGACAATTGGGAACCACTTGTAAGAAGCTGCATACACGAAGAAGCTCAATATAGGGATATCACATGAGTTAACGAGAAAAATCCCCAGGGATCGAATTTTCAACTGCGAATCGCTGCTGTAACGTTAGAAAATCTATCCATTTCGAGAGTGCATGGTGACTGATGATGAAAACTGGATCACACACAACAACGTCAAACAATAACCGTTGTGATCGAAGGGAAGGGAGCCGGCTGAAACGGCCTCTAAGCTATTATTGACAGCCAGGCTGGTAAGCTTGTTTGCTTGGTAAAATTAGCAGGGAAATATACACTATGAGCGGCTCCCCTATGGTCAGACTCTTAGTTTGGAGAAGCACCCAGCCCAGTGTTTCATCAGAGCAAGGCAAGATCACTCCTATCGAACGACACGCGCCAAAAGCTTCATGGTAGAGAGGTTCTTATACATTCACCGTATAGGCTGAACATTGGGGCGAGTAATTACTATATATTACTGTCTATGGCGAATGATTTGGCTAGTGATAAATTAGCCTTAAGAGAAAATCGTTTGTCACATTTTTTTTTTGCCAACATAGAGGAGGGTTGCTATGAGAGAGGCATAGTGACATTCTACTCAAAATCGCTCAAAAAAAAAAAAATTTCGGACAATTCTAACTACGTTAAATTAACTCTATAAATTAGTGCAAAAATATTTTTTAACAAATGATTGTAAATTTGGTACAAAAAATTTAATTAACAAAAAAATTGCTGAGATTTTTTGGATTTTTCATCTATAAGGGAATCATTCCTGGAGTGATATTGTGTGAAATAGGCACAGAATTATGATGTTGTTGCTGTTGTAGCTGCTAGGAGTAATGAGGAGGGGAATGGTGTGGAAGTAATAGTCCTTAGCCAGATAAAAATTCTCGTCATTCCGACATAAAAATCCGACTGTGCCGAAAACTTTTGGATTTTAGTCGCCACTTACGACAGACATGCCTTACCGCAGGGATATCGCAGAATGATATTTACTGTTGCTTGTCGTATATATGTATTTCACACGGCCAATTCGTACAAAATGCGGCGGTAGCCAGCTTTCAAGTTAACTTTTTTCAGAGAATATAAAACTGATCATGGCTCCTTTCCACCTTAAAATTCGTGATTTAAAAAAAGGCCAAAAAATATTTAAAAAAATTAAATTTTTCTTCAAATTTTGAAAAATATTTCTAAAAGCAGCTGACTGACCAGCTTGTTAAACCATAGACAAATTTCCAATAGCTTAGACACTTCGATACAAACTACACGGATTACGGCTAAGAAAGGATAATAAACAAGGTGCAACCACTACAATTTGCCTACGGATATGTATGTATTTGTATATTTGTATATACATACGTAAAAGCAAACCAATCGGTTTTAGATGAGGGAAAAATCCTAACCAAACTACATACATACGTATGCCTAAGCTATAATACGCTTAATCCACCTACAAGAACAGGTTTAAGACATACATATGTAGGTATGTATTATGTGCGCAGAAAATAAAAGAAATTTTAGTATATAAGAAAATATAATATAGTCGAACAAAAGTTCAGAGCACAAAAGTGCAACCAAATTGAAATAAGTAAGATTTGAAGACCGAAAATAGCGACAAACTACGTACTTATATATATAAATATAAATATAAATATATATATATATATACCGAGGCACATGCACCTATAAAATGAATTTGTAGCGTAGTAGATAAAGAGCTGGGCTAGAAAGTTCATATAAATATATTAGGTCAAGTAAAAAGTTCGTTCGGTTTTTATCTAAGAGATGGCGTTATTGTCCCTAATACTATGTGTTACGTGTCGCATGATGTCATAATATATGGCGCTGAAATCGTGTTTATTCGCGTTGAAAGTTCGTCTGTGACAGTTTTTCGATTGATTCGACTCAGTACTTTGTGAGCGCTCGTCAAAGCTGGACACCAGCAAAGAGAAAATATGCTATATTTTACAATTTTACTTCGATCAAGGTGAAAAAGCAGCCTAAGCGGCTGAAAAAATTATTTCGTTTATGGGTCCGATACTGTAAACGAACGTGTAGCACAAAAGTGGTTTGCTAGGTTCCGTTCCGGTAATTTCGATGTCAAAGATGCACCAGGTTTTGCTGTGTGTTTGGTGGGATTGGCAAGGACTGATCTACAACGAGCTGCTCCCCTATGGCTAAATGCTCAATTCGGCCCTGTACTGCCAACAAATGGATCACTTGAAGGCAGCACTCATCGAGAAGAGGCCATCTTTGATCAACAGAGACGAATTGGGTTCCATTAGAACAACGCCACACACGTCTTTGGTGACGCGCCAGAAGCCCCAGGAGCTCGGATTATTACCATCTTTTCCTATCCATGGCGAGCGCGCTTAATGGTGAGGAGTTGGCCTCAAAAGGGACCTGTGAGAATTGTCTCTCCGAGTTTTTTGCCAATAGCAAAATGCAGCCTTTAACGAGAGGGGTATAATGAGCAACAAGTTTACGAACAAAACGGCGCATATTTGACTTAAATTGGACAAATCGAAGCAAAGTTATTATATTTTGAAAAATTAATAAAAAAAAAACCGACCGAGCTTTACACTTTACCGATGTATATACGAGTATACTCGCAAATATACCCGACTATAGTGGTGTTTAACCAACAAAATCGAGTAACCAAAAACTAGTTAGGACTCTGTTACATACATATATACGAGCATATGTAAGCAGTTGTATTTTATTAACTAATTCGGCGCAGTTTGCTTTTGAGCATATGAAAATGTATGTGAAAATGCGGGGAAGGTACATACATACATAGATGATTTTTATTATGACATACACCCACATATACATATGTGCATGTACATATTATATCTAAATTCTTAGGCTTAAAACACTGTTAAAACATCACAATGTTGTTTTTGGTGTAACAAATTTGTGTTTATGGCAAATAAAATATATTATTCGGGCTCATTGGTTACCACAACGATGAACGGGCAAATAAATGAACTACAAAGACAAAGATCAGAGATACAAATTAACCTTTTTGCAACAACAACAGCAATAAATATAATTACAAAGATATGGAGATGCAGAAGATATGGAGATGCTTATGCACATACATACATTAAATTTCGGGATCCCGATTTCGAATTTTTCCCATTACATTTAGATCTGGTCTGAGCTTCTAATATACGAGAGAACTCGTTTTTAAGTACGCGCAATGAGAGAGTTGTGGGGAGCTGATTAGGCTCAGCTCGTTCAGTGACTTATAATTTCGATAACAAACAATATAATGGGAAATGAAAACTACTCGTTTACTGAGTTATCTCGCTCAGCGTAATTTTAAACTCTCCCTCTCTTAGTACAACTAAGAGGCTTGTAGGTGCTCTCTTGATGCGAGATTCCGCAAAATAAATTTTTTAACTACAAAGAAAATTGATTTATAAACAACTTTTTTTTCAAATATAACTGAAGAAAAAAGATTAGTTTTTTAGTCCCGAAACAAATTCGGTATTGTAAAAGATGATAACCCAGCAAATATATTAGGTGTAGTAAAAAGTAATCCATTATTATTTTTTCTTTTCATATCCAGCCTTATTCAAGCTCTTGGCAATGGAAATAGTAATTATAAAAATTTATTTTTATTTAATATTTTGTTTTTTTTTTTTCATTTTTTAGTTTCAAAATTTAGTAGAATAAATTTATTTATATTTTATTTATTTTTTTAGACAAGATTTTTCGATATTCATGTTTTTATTGCGATCTATTGGAAAAATAATGAATTTGTTTTTACTATAGCTAATATATTCTATCAAATATATATTCAACACAATTTTTAAGTACCTAAGAACTCTCCCTCCCTCACATTACTCACCCATTTATACGATTTTAATGTAAGAAATCTGTTCAAGTTCTCACACGTCAATGCCGATGAAGCGGCGCGTGAGTGAGAAGAGTTCAATTAAAATACAACCAAGTGCCTGAGCCAAATCAACTTCCCGCAATTGTTCACCTCCCACCACCACCACCACCACCACTAATTGCAACAAAACAGTGCATGACAATTACAATACAAATCAAGTTGAATGTGTGGCTGGG